CAATAATATGAATAAAAATAATATTTTTGATATTTTATGAAAAGACATTATGTTAAATGCCTTGGGCAAAAATGAATATTATAATATTATTATTAAATAAAATGCAATATGATGCTATAAAAGTAATGCAATATAATAATATTTTTAGGCTTAAACCCACTTAAGCATATGCTAATCCCCAGCGGAGTCGGCTGTCGCGCCTGGATTTTTCCTCGCCCTCTCTAAGAGTTATATTAAACACTTATGGGTTAGAAAAGTGGGTTTAATGCGACGAGTGGCTATGGCCAATTATTATTTATTTGGAGTCGCCACCTAACATAGGGTTTATTGGTGTGTTTAGGTCACCTTAAAATGTCTAAGGACTTCATATTTAATATATTTTTTATTTGAAATTTTAGTCTACGAAAACTAGATTAATGGGCTCGGGGGTTTGGTTGTGCATAGGGAAGGTGTTAGGCACCCACCACACCCATGAAACACAATTACCTTATTTTTATATTGCATTCCAAAAAGTACATGTGTAGTTTCAATACTTAGAGATATTTATTCAATTATGATTCGTAAACTTGGCTCTATGTATGTGAAAATAAACATCAATGCTTTCATAGTAGTGTTTATTAAAAATATTATGACTTTATATCTAAATATATTAGTTATGTAAAGGAAATGATCTTCCAAAAAAATGCGATTTAATAAAATATTATTTTAATAATACTATTTTTAGAAGATATTATCTTCAAAAGAAAATTTGATTTAGTAGAAAATATGAAACTTTATATAATTAATTCTTAATTTTAATTTTGGAATCAAATATTTATATAAAAAAGGTGAAGCTTGGATTCTTTTAGAAAAACAATAGGTTTTAGGAAAGCTTTATTTCAAGAAACTTTGTTTTAAGAAAGTTTTATTTTAAAAGAAAATATTATTGTCTAAAGAAAATATGATTTTAGTATTATTAAAAAACATATTATTCTAAATTATTTTAGGAAAAGAAGAAGACAGAACTACAACAACAGGAGAGGCGATGAGATTTATATATATAATGTAACCTATGGAATGGAAAGTCTAGTGAAGGAGGCGGTGATATGGAAATTCTGTTATAAGTAGGATTAATTTGCCTTTGTAGGTTTAATACATATATAGGACTAATTTACCAATTTTGGTAGGGATATATGTGACCTATTACTTATATGTGACCTATAAGAAAAGTTATGGACTTAATTTGTCACATTACGCTAAACTCATTATATTATCAAATAAGTTACAAAATATTCCCATCTATTACCTCAAATTTATCATTAAATAAAAGTAAAGGGGTGTATTTTGCAACTTTTTGTTATACAGGAGTGTTTTTTGCAATTTGGCCTCTAAAGTATTCCAAATTATTATATATATTATTTTTAATTTGTTAATTATTGAATTTAAATCATACTGGCATTGTCCCATTTTAATAATTCATCTTTTCTCTTTGTGGTTATCCCAAAATTGTTATCCCATATATTCAACTTCAAAGGTACTTTTGAAATTTTAAAAGTTTAATGCATCGTCTCCTAAAAAATTATAAAATTCAAAGTGGATAATTAAAAGGTACGGAATAGTTGTTTTTTTAAGAGTTTGGCACTAATATAAGCAAAAAATCAATGAGAATTACAAAATATGTATATACACATATAAGTATAAATATAATATAGAAGAAAGATAAAGAGAAATACGTAAAGAAAAATGATAACTTAAGACGATGGTGATGTGTCACTAGAGTTGTTACAGTTGTACTACATAAAGATAAAATTTTAAAGACAAAACTATCCTTACAAAATTCTAATTATCAAAAAATCTCAATTACTAATAATATCTCTCATCATTCTCATCATTCAAATCTATCTCATAGTCAAACCATTCTTTATTTTCTTCTCACCTTTTTCTCCATTGCCATCATTGATTCCTGATACACAAATATATCACTTTACAGAACTTAGTGAGGAGGGTTTTCGATTGATGAGCCAATTCAGTCTATTATTGGTTTCCTGCATAAGAGTGTTGATCAGGGCAGAGCCAGGATTTCAAGGGATGTAGTATACTCTACCCCATGCTTTTCATTAATTTAATTGGCCTTAGTCGCTTTAATGATGCACCATAGTCTTAATAAAAGCAGTGACAAACATAAATCAATTTTTAAAAAAAATGTATTGAAACTAACAATGCAACAAGACACAAATCCAAAATATAGAAGTGTATCTTAAAAAAAAAAAAAAAAAATTTAAAAAAGTTTAAGAAGAATAAAAAAAAGAAAAAAAAAAGAAGAAAGAACTTTGAAAGGAAAACAAAATTAGGATTTAACTAAAAAAGGGAATATAATATTTTTTTCTAATAAGGAATCAAAAGAATTTAAAAAGTACAACAAAAATTTATCATATATTTTTAGAAATTTAAAATTTTAGGGAGGGCATTTTCTAACATTTGTGTAAAATTTATTATTACATATATATAGTAAAATACATATTATGGTGTTTATTTTTACTATTATTATTTTTTATGTTTTGCAAAATTTTGTATATTCTTTTACATCCATCTATATAATTTTGCATATTCTTAAACATCTATATATATATATATATATATATATATATAAATAAATAAATAAATAAAGGAGAGGAAGAGTGTTTTGATAAAATTTTAAAAACAAATTTAAGGGATTGAATTGCATATCTATTTAGAGAGAGATAATGTTATGATAAAATTTATAAAACAAAAAAGTAATCCTACAAATGATAGGATGGATACGAGAAGGTAATATAAGGGTAATTTTGTCATAAGGGTAATTTTGTCTTTGAAAGTTCATGACATTCTAGTGGAACCATATGATTGCCATATTAATTTGTGCCTAACCATAAACAAATCGGTCTAATCTTTGTGCCTGAGTATCAAGACTCATACTTCAAATGGCTTGAAACATTGAATGATATAAATCACTCATTCATGGCTCCAATATTTATAGATATAAAGAGCATATGTTAATATTACAAGTAAGGAAACTAAATCAAATTACATTATATTCTATAGCATAATTAAATCTCTACTAATATGGTAAGTAATTTCATAAATTGTAGCTATTATATATGCTAATTTCATAAATTGTAACTATTATATATGACTTGAACAATGCACCTTCAGACACGATCTTAGCACTCTTCTTCAAAATTTACAATTTGCATGTGTAATGAGGGTGTTGGATGAAACTATGTGGACTGGATTCATTTTTGAACTGTTAGAATGGTGTATGATGGGTATACCCACCCTGAATAGGATAGGAGAAAGAGTGTTTAATGGTGGAAGAGTTTTTATTATTGTTTGGTATTTACTAATGTGTTGATGCACTTGTGAAGTATATTGTATTGTTCTACCTTGTGTCAATTTTATGTCATTGGATACGTTAGAATTTATAATTATTTAATTATTTTGTTAAATATTAATTTTAAACTAGATTTTACTCATATGCAATAGTACATTATTTTTTAATAATAAATTTATATGTTCCTTATATATGTTTCCTTTTAGAATAACATAAATTATCTATTTATTATGGGTTTTTATTTTAAAATTAATATAAGGTGTTTAAAAAAATTTCTATAACGCTCAATTTACCTCTTTAGAAGAGTTTCTATAAAACTCAAAGTACCTATTTATTATGAGTTTTTTTTTTTCATAAAAGAAAATCTAATTAGATAAAGAAATATATAAAGAAAATAAATAACTTAGCCTTTCTAATTCCGCAAGGAAATATATAAAAAATATAAATAATTTAGTCTATTTAGCCTCCACATCTTTTCTAATTTTATAAATAATATATAAATAAATAAAATATTAGTAGATTGTAGTAAAAAATAATCTTGAGTTTGATATTGTTTTAGGAGTTTGAAAATACACCTTTCAATAATTGAATTCCTATTGTAAAGTTCAGTTAAAAATTATATTTTTATCTCTTTTATCTTATGTGAATTTTATGTTTATGGATATTTTCGAATTTAAAATTATTTAATTACTTTGTTAAATATTAATTTTAAATTAGATTTTATTCACGTACAGTTTTACTAGTTATTATTATTAAAAGTACAAAAAGTTTCTATACAATTTCAAGTTTTCATCCAATTTTTAATTTATTTTAAAAAGATTTTGTATTTTAATTTTAAAAAAGAGTTTTTAGAAGAGTTTCAATATTAAAATTTTACCACAAACTATATATTTTTTTAATTTTTTGTTTTAATAAAACTTTATCACATATTATTTATATATACATTTATTTTTAAAAATAGTTTTTTAGAAAAAAAACTCTATCACATATTATCTATCATAGTTTGAGTTTCTATTATATACTTACTTATTTTTTAAAAAAGAGTTTCTATCACATAATCTTCCTATCTCTTTCAAAAAAAAAAAAATCTGGAAAAATAAATATAGAATTTACGTCTCCAACAAAATTTCAGTTTTTATAAATAGAGTTTCTATGATATTTGAGTTCCCATATGTTCTCCAAATCCCCTAGATTTCTGAAAAAAGAATATTAGAAAAAAAAATTATGTCTAGCAAAATTTCATTTTATTTATCTTTGATACCTATATTTCTTATACTATTAAAGCTTCATGTGCAAATCCAAAAAGTAATTAGAACTACCAATTATGAGTTTTTATATAATTTTTAATTAATTTTAAAAAGATTTATTTTTAACATATTAGAATTTTTAGAAAAGTTTCTATAATACTCTATCACAAAAAAATAATAATAAAATAAAAAATTAGAAGAGTTTCTATAAAACTTTATCAAATATATCCTTTTTTATTCTACAATATATTTATTTTTTTTAAAAAAGAGGTTTTTTAATAATAGTATAGAATTTTATTTTTTCGTAATTTGTGAATGGGTGAAAGTAAAGGGTGTGTTGGTCATTTCCCCAATTAATATAAAAAGGGTCCGCGAAGGATACTTCCGCCGATCGCAGCCGCTGAAAAAACTGTACGCCGCTCAATCCGTCCGCACCCATCATATCCATGGCTCTTCCTTGTGTGCATGGGGGAATGGGTATAATTGGTTATAAGAATCATCTGAAGACAAATCCAGAAGACCATAAGACTCTATATGTAAAATATCATGTAAAGTTAGGGTTTTTGAGTGGCCTTTCAACCAAAAACCACCACCAGAATCTCAGCCCTTTCTGTCGTCATTCCCACTTTTCCGGGATGGGTGCGCAGCCGCCTACGGAATTTGAAGACTATGCTTTTCGTCGACACAAATCACAAATGTTTCAGGTATCTCTCTCTCTCTCTCTCTCTCTCTCTCTCCATATGTATATAAATATCTACTGCAGTTTCAGGGGTTTGAATCGTACGATGATTTGATTAGCCCCTTCGTTGGCGGAATTGCACCCTTCCCGGGACCTTTGGATGGTCCGAGGCTTACAGAAGCCGCCCGTATGGCTGTGGAGCTACACAACAATCAACAGGTTTAGATTTTTGTTTTTGTTTTTGTTTTCTGTTTTCCCAATGGTTATGACCCAATTAACTTTACTGCATTTGCAGCAATGCTATTTTAGTTCCAATATGAACTGTCTAATGTCTAATGTGCCTCTGATGTGTAAAATGCAAAAAAATTATTAGACATGTGAACCTTATATGGCTGATTCATCTTTGTAGTTGTCCTAATTTAAATCTTGAGTTTGTGAGAGTGGTCGGGGCAAACTCACAGCTTGTTTCTGGTATAATGTGGTATATCACGTTTGAGGCAACTGATGCTGGTGTGAAGAACACTTATCAAGCTAAGGTTTACTCTTCTATTCAAAAGAAATGGACATTATATCTGTGTAGGCTTGCTCCTCAGATACCTCTTGTTAAGAAAGGTAACTACTTCCAGACCTTAGTGTTTGAATTCAATTAAAATCCTTCAGCGTTTATTTTTTTATATTTCGAGATATCATTTATTATCATATATTGTATTCCCGTCTTAGTATGTCTCTCTCTTCCTCTTTACATAGACAGTAGATAAGTTAATGGGAATAGGATTGCGAATTCTGTTCTACATAAACAGAATCATAAGATTATGACATAGTAGAATTAGGTCCTTTCTTTTTAATTTGTTTTTGCATATATAGTTTATACTTTGACTGTGAATTATCTCATGACTTATCTCTCGAAATTATACTTTTTGACGTATATGTTCATATTTCTACATGTTTTTCCAACTTAATTTCTGATTTGAGGTCCTTCCTCTCAAATAGGGTTTTAACCTTTAATCTTAACCCTGCTTCATTAATTTGATCATAATTTTGATAATGGCTAATCGAGGGTATACGCTTGATATCCATTTTTTATGGGAGAAGAAATTCTTTTATTTTCAAATCAAGCACATTATTTATTGGTTACCATAGTTGTAAAAGGCTTAGGTGCACTAAGGCGCCAAGGCCTCTTGGAGCTTGAGGTGCAAGGCGAAGTGCGGACTTCACTGGAATGTGGTGCAAGTTGGAAAGAAGAAGAGAGAAGGGAACAAAAAAGAAAAGAAAAACAAGGCTAGTTGATCTGTTGAAGGGATTGTATTCATAATGGTAAATTGGTAATATATTATTTAGTTCGACCACAATTAAGCTAGTTCATCGGTTGAAGGTTTGGTAATCATTAAGTTTGAGATATATATATATATATATATATTTGATAAGTATGATATATTATTTATTTGACCCCCAATTAGGCTAGCTCATCTGTTGAAGTAACGGTATTCATTAAACTAATTTATTATTTAGTTTGACCACAATTAATTTCTCTTACGTAAGAGGAAGCGCATGCTCCTCGATTGATGACTTTTTTTATCTTTTGGATGCTATTGGTTCTTAGGTCCTTTTTTAATTTTTGTATTAGGGACGCGTTCCCCTTTTGAACGCTTTTCTAATATACTTTTTACTTATAAAAAACAAAAAATTTAATTTGACCACAATTAAGCTCATTGATCTGTTGAAGGAATGGTATTCATTAAGGCATTATATTATTTAGATCAACCACAATTAGGCTAGTTCATCTGTTGAAGGAATGGTATTCATTAAACTAATATAATATTTAGTTCAACCACAATCAGGCTAGCTCATTTGTAGGTGGTTGGGACCTTGTGGTTGAGAGGTTTGTGAGGAAACTTGTTGGGCTGAAGAAGAAGTATCTTTCGAAGGGTGGGAAGGTTGCCTGTTGAAAGCATGCTTTCGAGCCTTCCTACTTATTTCCTTTCTTTTTCTGATTCCTTCCTTGGTGGGCAGTAGGATTGAGAGTATTCATAGGAATTTCTTATGGGGCAATTTGGGGAGGAATTCAATTATCATCTTGTCCACTAGAAGCTGGTATGTAGGCCAATTCAGTTAGGTGGCCTCAGTTTTGTTAAAGGCTCAAAGCACACTAAGGTGCCAAAGTCCTCCTGGAGCTAGAGGCGCAAGGCGAGGCGCAAATTGAGGGGAAAAAAAGGTGAGCACACTTAACATAAAGATACAAAACCCAACTAACCCAAATACATAAGTTCATCAGCAGCAACACTGTAGCAGGCATTTTCACAGCAAAATATAGCAGGCATTTTCACAGCAATATATAGCAGGCATTTTTATAGGCCATAGCAAAAAATAGTAGGCACTTTCACCGTAAAAAAGGAGAATCATGTATTATACTTTTATAGTGAAGCACTAAAGTTCAAAAGCATTTGTAAATTAGGTCTGAAAAAAAAAAAAAGACCAGAATAGGATGAAGAATAAGAAGAGGGGCTGAGGGGGGATAGGCAAGAAGAAGAGCGAGAGAAAGAAAAAAACTGAATAGAAGAAGAAGAGAGGAAAAAAGCAAAAACACTGCAGGACTGAAGGAGAGAGAGAACACGGTAGAAGGAAAAAAATAGACCAGAAGAAGAAGGGGAGAAAAAAATTGCAGAAGTAAAAAAAACAAAAAAGGACAGAAGAAGGAGAGATAACACAGCAGAAGGGAAAAAAAAAAAAAAAACAGAGGAGAAGAAGAGTGAGAGAGAAGAGAAAAGGAAAAGAAGAAAGAGAAAAAATAGAGCAGAAGGAGAAACAGAAAGCTTACCTGGTTGCCGGAGAGAGAGCTGGCCGGAGATTGCTGCAATCACGAGTTGTTGGAGAGGTGGAGAGCCTCGTATATCACTGTGTTGTGTGTGTGTGCTTGACTCGAAGTCTTTGGAGAGTTGGAGAGCCTCGTATATGACTGTGTTTTGTGTGTGTGAGATATCTCCAGGTTATGGAGGCCCTGAGTAGGTTGATGGGGAGGGCGGTGGAATTGGGTTTTATTAAGGGGTTCATGGTGGGTGGGGATGCTGCTCATCACCCGGGGATATCTCACTTATTGTTTGTGGATGATACTTTGGTGTTCTGTAAGGCGGAGGTGTCCCAGATGAGGTACTTGAGGTCGGTGTTGGTTTGTTTTCAGGTGGTTTCAGGCTTGAAAGTGAATGTAGGGAATAGTGCTTTGATTCCAGTGGGGGAGGTGCATAATATAGGTAAGTTAGCCTTTGTTCTTGGATGTGGAATGAGTAGTTTTCCAATTACATACTTGGGGTTACCTTTGGGAGTTTCTTCGAGGACTGTGGGTGCTTGGGATCCAGTGGTTGAGAGGGTTCAGAGGAGACTGGCAAGGTGGAAGAAGCAGTACTTATCGAAAGGTGGGGAGGTCACTTTTTTGAAAAGTACGCTTTCAAGTCTTCCTACATATTTTCTATCCCTCTTCCAGGTTCCATTCGTGGTTGGTGAGGATTCCTGGTGGAGTTGGCGTTTGGAAATCCATTAGAAAAGGATGGAATGAGTTCTCAAAACACATCCGATTCAGAGTTCAGGATGGTAGGGACGTGTGCTTTTGGGAGGATCTTTGGTGTGGTGATTGTTCTTTGGCCTGTTCTTTCCCAGATTGTTTAGGATTGCTGTTGACAGGCATGTCTCGGTTGCTGACTGTTATCGGTTTGATAGCGGGAGGTTGACTTGGGATGTGCGGTTTGTGACAGCTTTCCAAGATTGGGAGTTGGACGACATTTGCGGGTTGTTAGAGCGCCTGTATCGGCATGAAATCCGTAACGGAGGTGGAGATTCGCTTGTCTGGGTGCCTTTTACTCGGGGAAGGTTTGAAGTGAGTTCATTTTTCCGTTGTCTCTCAGGGATTACGTTTCCGTGGAAAACAGTGTGGAGATCTAAGGTGCCACTCAAAATGGCTTTCTTTACTTAGACAGTGGTGTGGGGCAAGATATTGATGCTTGACAATTTGAGGAGGCGAAGACAAATCACAATTAACTGGTGTTGTATGTGCAAATGTAATGGAGAATCGGTAGATCATCTTCTTTTGCACTGTCCAGTGGCTTTTGACTGTTGGTGTCTTTTGGTAGGCATGTTTGGGGTTTCATGGGTGATGTCTAGATCTGCGAGAGGACTGATGGAGGCTTTGGAGAGGATGCTTTGTCGGAGGTCATGCTCGTGGGTTTTGGAGGATGATCCCCACTGTCGCCGGCCTTCCTTCAACACCCGTTGAGCCTCCGCCTGAGATGGAAACATAAAAAGAAACAGCAAGTCAGATAAGGGCGTCACCCCCACCCCACACGCTGTATTCCATGCCTGTGCCACCCACTCTTCCACTTGATCACATCCCCCAACCTCCTTATCGAATCGTCCAACCAAATAAGATGAAAGCACCGCCTTTCTTCCTCCGACAGATTCCCTGTCCCTCGATAAGGGATTGCTGTCTTTACATTCCCCCCAAGCAAGATCCTTGGAATCCTTGCAATCTCAAGAAAGGATTGCATCTCTAACCTAATCTCTCCGCAATCGCCCCAAAATCGCCCCTAGTGACATCATTTACGCAATAATAAAACACACATTTGAATAAATCTTTTCCTTTTAACATCTCTGCATCTTACCATTGGCCATTAGTTTCTCTCTCTCTCTCTTTTTTTCCCTGATTAATATTGGCAAGTGATTATCATGATCAGGTACCCTTGGATAAGGTTTTGGCAAGTGTCAACTCAACTTATGAAAAATGCCTATACCAATCCATAACGATCAAAGTAGAATTGTGAAACTTTGAAACAAAATTTCCATATTTTGCCTAGAGTCTCAATATATGTGTTTCGCAGTTGGGATTGACCTTTGTGAAAGGTCGTGGTCAATTATGCATAGATATCAATTGGCCTTAGAGTGAGTTGTTTGGGAGAACAATTCTCTTAATGTCTTATCAGGTGCATTATTTGCCTGCTATGTTTTCATGTTATTTTGGAATGAAATCATACTTATCTTGAAGTTTGATAGGCTGATAGATTTTATTAGTTTCTTCCATGCACGGACCACTATATATTCAAATTTGAAAAGAAAAAGAAACCTAAAAATTCAGTGAACTTTTATGTGCTTAGTCAGAAACATAAAAAAACTGTATAAAATTGTATCAATTTGTTAAAAGTTAGATAGGTTGTTCATTGAATGAATATTGCTAATGTCAAAAGCATGTCCACGATTGAACACTGTATTAATATTTAAACTTCAGTTGTTGCTGAGTTGGGGGATTTTTGACTGAGATGGTTTGATAAACTTCAGTTGGGGTATTTTGACTGAGTTGGGGTATTAATATTTAAACTTCAGTTGTTGCTTCTAGTTGATTCTTATTTCTAGGGCATGTAGTAAAATAGTAAAAGGGTAACAAGGTTGTAAGTCAAGAAGGTGGAATGCTGTTTAGAGGCTTAAGGATGGGATTGTATGGAAAAATTTCTGTGAAATAGGCTTTTCTTTCATGTGACCATTTTACTTTGGAAGCAGTAGACTAGTGGTATAGTTTTTAACATAATTCTTTTTCTCTATCCCTTTTCTCTTTATGTTGAGGATGGTGATTTATATTCTATTCAATTTTATTTATTGTATATTTTATTTTGTATTTTTTGGTGTGTTTCTACTACAGGTGATGGGGATGAACCGGGTGAAGAGGATCCCAACTCCAGCTCCAATGCGTTTGGGGGGTATATATTCTATTGATGTCACACTTGCTTAAATAACAGGATAGGAAAAGTAGTAATTTTTTTTTTTTTTTTTTTTTGGTGATGCTTACCTTGACAAAAACTGAGTCTCACTTTCAAGCCGCTATGTTCTTTGAACGCTAATTCAGTAGTACAATGTTGACTCAAATGTATGAAATCGACTTGATTTGAGTGAGCAGCAGCCAGAAACACAGAAGTGCATGTAACCGGGTGCAAAGGCTTCTGAACCAAATTGCCAAACAACAAAAGAGTTTCTATCCACTCTTGAGTTTTCATTTAATTTCTAATTAATTTTTAAAAAGAGTTTTTATTTTTTTTAAAGAGAGTTTATGACATCTTATTTATATATATTTAATTTTTTAAAAGTTAAAAAGCTCATATTAATGAAAGAAATCAAATCCCCAAGAGATAGAGATACAGGAGCCAGAGGCCGACACCGAAGAGAGGGTTTACTCTGATGGGCGTGCACCACCTATGTTAGCTTTATGGGAGGAAATGGCATGGTCAAACCGCCGGATAAAGACCCTATTTGAACCGGAACTTTATACAGTTGGCCAAATTGTGTAGTGGCGAGCCAGTCCCTTGACGGGGCAGTTTTGTATTTGTACATGTTTTTTTTTGAAAAGAGGTTTTTATCACATAATATTCAGAAAAAGTAAAATATGAAAATTAAGAAGAATAAAATAAAATTTACATCTCCAAAAATAAAAGTACTTTACTCTAACACTCCTATTTTAGCTAATGGTTAAAAAGAAGTAAAAGTCAACTAATTTAAAAAAATAAAAATGTCAATTCTGCCCTTTATATCATTTAAGTTATTTTTATTTGACAAATACGGACCTAAATTAACTATATATATATATATATAATATATGACTGATATATATACAGATTTAGACCGTTCAGGCCACCTCCACCACAACTGCCGACTCCTCAGTGTCGCTACTTCCACCATAACCATCGGCCCCTTAGTCGCCACCTCTAGCACCACACTACTTCCCACCGCAAGTTCCCTCTCTCTCTCTTTCTCCCATCTAAACCACACCACCGGCCCCTTAAACAATTCTTGTTTAATGATTTAATAATTTTATAACTTTTCATTGAAAACAACATATTAAATAGTTTTTGCAGGTTGTCTCAAATTTTTTATTGGAAAGCAACTTGTGAATAAATGACTGTTATAATGAATTGGTAAAATATATTTTGTTTGTTTTTTTAGGGGGTGGGCTTCTTGATCTGCCAATGCACTAGGGAGCCGGCAATTGTGGTGGAGGCGGCTAAAACTGTCTAAATCTGTATATATAGTTAATTTAGATCCGTATTTGTGTTCAAATAAAAATAACTAAAATGGTATAAATGGTAGTTTTGAAATTAGATGTTTTTTAATTAGTTGACTTTTGACTTTTTAAATAGTCAATTAACAAAGGGGGTGTTAGAGCAAGGTGAACTGAATCTTAAAGGAGGTTAGGGTTCATATTTTCACTAGTTTAATCTAAGAACAATAAAGGCAAACGTGATGGGGTGTCACAACATTTCACCCTTTAGAAGAACACATATTAATATAAGGTGTTTAGAAGGCAAACGTGAGGGGGTGACACTTCTATCCAGTTTTAGACTGATTTATGCTTATTTCGTGTTTATAGGTATTTTCTTAAAGAAACGGTTAAAACCATGACTTTAAGATGAAAAGACTAATTTCGAAACTTACAGAGTCATTGCCGATCATTCGAAGCAAGCCAGAAGTCAAATTGGTGAATTTTGGAAGAGTTCAAGTTCAGAAGCTCGAGCCTAAGTTCCATGGCTCGAGCACAACAAAAAGAAGCAAGAAAATCCATTAAGGCAAAAGAGCTCGAGCCCAGATTCCTAGGGCTCGAGCCCAACCTTAAGGTGCTTGAGCCTTTGCCTAAAAGCTCGAGCCAGACGTGTGTCAGAATATGAAGAGTTGCTTCAGAAAATTCAAGTTCCCAGGACCTTGTGCCAAGACTCAAATGCTTGAGCACCTTTCCAAAGAGCTCAAACCGAAAGCCAAAATGCTCAAGCTGAAGCCCCAAGGCTCGAGCACCAAGCCAAGGTGATCGAGCACCCTCAAAAAGAAGTCCCAAAATGGCTAAATGTTGAATAAAAAAACGTTTAGGAATATTCGAGCCCCTAAATATACGTATTTTAAGACCTTAAGTGATACTTCTATCCAGTTTTAGACTGATTTATGTTTATTTCGTGTTTGTAGGTACTTCCCCAAAGAAACGGTTAAAACTGGGACTTTAAGATGAAAAGACTGATATCGAAGCTTACAGAGTCGTTGCCGATCATCTGAAGCAAGTCAAGAATCAAAATAGTGAATCTTGGAAGAGTTTAAGTTCAGAAGCTCAAGCCTAAGTTCCATGGCTAGAGCATAACAGAAAGAAGCAAGAAAATCCACTAAGGCAAAAGAGCTCGAGCCCAGATTCTTAGGGCTTGAGCCCAACCTCATAGTGCTCGAGCCTTTGCCTAAAATCTCAAGCCAAACATGCGTCGGAATATGAAGAGTTGCTTTAGAAAATTCAAGTTCCAAGGACTTCGTGCTAAGACTTAAGGGCTCGAGCACCTTTCCAAAGAACTCGAGCCAAAAGCCAAAAAGCTCGAGTCGAAGCCCCAAGGCTTGAGCACCATCAAAGGTGATCGAGCACCCTCAAGAACAAGTTCCAAAATGGCTAAGTGTTGAATAAAAAGACGTTTTGGACAAATTTTGCTCCCAGAGCTCGAGCCTAACTCTATAGGGCTCAAGCAGTGATGAAAATTCTGGACCTGCTTCAGTATTTTGGGCAAAACTTTTGACTCGAAACTCCAAATTGAGCAAACTCAGGGCTATAGAAAAAAAACTCGAAGCCCGATGTTTTTGTCTCTAATAGCAATTTCGAGATTCGCACTTTAAAGATGTCAAAATCGCGTTACAATTTTAGAACAATGTGCTGACAGGTTATGCTCGAGCCCAAAATGTTGGGCTCGAGCCCAAGTATCCTGGAGGTTAAAAATATATGAGGGAATTACCTAAAATCATCCCTCTTTATTTTTTTATTAGTCCAATTATTACCAAAAGTTGTAAAACTTGTCCAAATGGGATTATGACTTGTTCTCCATTATAAAAGAAGAGGAGAAGACACATTAAGGGGATCTATCTATCTATCTCTTTCTCTTTTGTAAATAATTCTAGATCTAAGTGACGGCTTTTAGGGTTTTGAAGACAAATATCCAAATGAGTTTTTGGTGGTCTATGAAGATGGCCTCTACAACATCAACGAAGACATCTTTCCTCTCCATGAGTAGCTAAACTCCATCTTAGGGAATTGATGTAACCTGAATTCGAATACTATGGTTTGATTGTTCTATACTTTGGGAATTTAATTTATTATGTATTTTGATTGCATAGTTATGAACAATTGATTACGGATCAATTGGTGTTTTAATGAAATAATGGTTTTTGAATAATTAATATCTTGTCTTAGATTTAATTATTCTTAAAATGTTCTCAACCCATTCTTATTGTACTGAACTGGTGGATGCCTATCGACATAAGAATAGAGATTATGCAATGGTTTTCCAACATTTTTCATGAATGAATATTTTCATAATCTATGCCTAGGGAAGACGAGTTATACTGCAACATTAGTTAGAAGTAGGTAGGTAGATAATTCGTGCCAACCGAAGATAGGTTATAGTTAGTTGAAGTTCATGAAACATCTTTCTTTAAATCTGATTTAAATGAATGTTATTGAGTTTAATTCCATATAATGCATAATTGTTGAAATCCCAAGGTTAAATGATTGACCATAGTATGAGGTTTGTGGTGAAGTCAATCCCTAAGTATTTCTTCTTTTGATCTTAATCCATTTACTTTGTTTATTTTCTATTCATATTATTGCATCACAACAAATCAAATCATCTTCATTCTTAATTAAAATAGCAATTAATTGAAGACTTGATAAACCACCACAGTCCTTGAGGTTCAACACCCTCAATATAGCCCAATCCTATAAGGATTCATTCTATTGCGAGTGGTATTTATTGTTGATAAAATAAAACACACATTAACACTCACCAAGTTATCTACCCCTTTCTTCAAGCTTTATCAATGATCGCTTAGGCTTTGAGGTATCTTGCTCCTTCCTTTCTTTAAGTTGCTTTCTTATTTGTTGTAGTCCAAGCTATCTTTGGATGGACTTTGTATTTGGTTCCCCGCAACTTCATGTTCCTTTGTCTCCTTTGCTTTCCATAGATGTGATCTTGAGTAATGGAATACTTAAAATAATTTTTGTGATCTTCATTGAGGTTCTTCTTTAAATGTAAATCATCTATACCACTCAATGTGAACATTAGTCCTTAAATAACATTAATGGTTTGTTATCATAAAAACATCTTGATTGTCCTTGGATGAACCCTTATGGTCAACAATCTCCCATTTTTTGATAAAGACAAAACATTGATGTGTTTATAAGCAAATAGAGTAGCATTTGAAAAATACTCCCCCTATCAAAGTGCAAACATTGAACATAATGTCATAAAATAACTAGAATTTGAAAAATGCTCCTCCTATCAAAGTTCATACATTGAACATAACGTCATAAAATAGCATGCTTGATATTTCATAATTCCTTTTAGACATTAATATGCATACAAGATCATTTTACACATCACGTTTCTCTCCCCCCTTTGTTATCTCAAAAAGGTGGGAGGCTTAGACAACTTCATTTAGCATATGTCATTAAGCATAGTGAAATGTCATAGTGAAGCAATGATTATCAAGAAATGGCAATTAAGTGGCAATGGCTATAATATGCTTTAGAATGCAACATATAAGTAATTATATCATAAGATACCAATTTCATTGACAATATGACTTCAATACATCATTTAAAGTTCCTGCCATATACAAAAGTATACATAATCAAACATGAAACAAAAATGAAACATATCATAGAATAAGCCAAAAGACAAACAACCTTTTAAAGGCAAATCTTAGAACTCAAGACTACTTCAAACCTAATATATTTCTCCCCATTTTATATCCTTAAGAAGGAGGAAAATATCATCAAAATCATTAAAGCACATATAAAATAAATATAATGACCAAAAAGTCATTTTGTAGCATGCTTGATAATATACAAGAAAAATCAATGAAGATTAGCAAATCATGCAATA